ATTGTGCAGTCTCCCAAATTTAAAGACCAGTTATAATGCGGTTGCCGGAAATTGTGACAAACGCGGTAGCGAGTGGCGCTGGGTGTGCCACTGGGGAGCGAACGACAAAGCCGTTACGGAGGAGGAGGGGACACGGAGTGAACAAACGAAGGGTGGAGAGAAGAAAAAGAAATAAAAAAAAGATCGCGGGCACTTTCCGGGACCACTGAGTGAGCGAGGGGGACGGTTGCCTCGGTGACCGATAAGCCTTTGCACCGGCGCCGACGCGGCTACAGCGTACTACGTTGCTAGCACGGCTTTGGCCACGCGCCGCTTAACGTAGCACATGGGATCCCGTTCTTATCAACTACATGCGCTTAACAATTTCCTGTCTTTGAAGACGTCTTCGTTATCGCGCTTGTAACAAATATCACGTTTGCTCCCTCGTCCGTATATTGAAAACCTTTTACGGTTTTATGACGCAAGCTTTCACTTTTGCTGTCAGTGCGCTGTCGTACGTAAGCGTGGCGAGTTGTCGACTCCAACTCCGTATCATGCACGAGGTTTTTGGTTCACTGCTAGTGCGATCTTTTTGATGCCTAACCCTCACGTTTTAGACAAGCTTTCCGTGACAACATACCAAACAGCAAGCTAGGCTTCGATCGGTAGCGGTCACGTGAATCTAAGTTGTGGTTCGCTACCGAATCAACGGAACTCTTTGCAGTGGCCGCACTTGACGAGAAGGGATACATATCGTTAAATGAAAACAAGGGCGGCACGTGTAGCGCTCAAATATTGGTTTGCGATTCGATTGTGATGTCTTAAACAGGGTGCGCTCCCGTGAAATCTAAAGGTTGCCGTCTTTCAATGAGTCAAATTCTGGACATGATTCAACATAGTTACTGAGTAATGCGCATAATCGAGGCGATCTGGTAGTCGGCGAATTTCGCGATGGTGCTTTCATTTGTTAGCACCCCCCCCCCCCCCCTTTCACGTTCATTTTATTGGCAATGCGTGTCTTTGGATGTTAAATTCTATCAACATTCAGAAATTTAAATGCTGGCAAGCACGTATCGCATGTTTCAATTCTCGGACACGCGAAGCTGCATGCTCAACACGTTTTGCAGAAGTGCGGCCCTTGAAAAATGTTGTTTTGGTTATGATGGGGTACCGCTTATGCGCTTGTAGTGTGGATATTCGCGACTCCCACAACTTACGTTACAGGCAGTCTATACTGTATGAAGTAAGGCTGGCAGCCAACTCTTTAGGATCCGATATCACCGGAGCTCCTACAAAACGCTGGTGCGAGCAAAGACAGCCGCTCTAGGGAGAAGTGCTCTCTTCACACAGTCCCTTCATGTAGAAAGTGCACTGATACTTGCCGAGATAGCAAGCGCGCCAGCGATCACGACCGCACTTAAAATCAAAGTTCATTGTTGCTGAGTGACCCCCCCCCTGCGTTTTTTCATGCTCGTTCAAGACGGGTGGTTTCTTTTCTGCTTGAGCATTCGATTGATTGATTGATTGATATGTGGGGTTTAACGTCCCAAAACCACTATATGATTATGAACTGCTTGAGCATTCGACGGCAGTTCGAACATGCGGGGGGTGTTCTCTTATGCGCCTTCCAGACGATAGAGATGGACATATTCTCTGCTTCAGCGGCCCTTGTGCGCTTTTACCCGCTCGTGAAAGTTACGATGCGCCCGCACATGTACTCAATTTGGACTTAATACGAAATATGGCAGCGACGACGAAAACCTGCTGAGTGTGTCCATATAAATATATCAGTGATGCAACCGAGTTTTTCCGATTTGAAGCAATTTTCGGAGCAGGAAAATGTTTCATTTGGAGCACATTGGAGCCGCAAAATTTTCCATTTTGGAGCAATCTAGAACAGCTAACTTCAAGTTCTGGAGGAGAAGCAAGGTGCATTTACATTCAAAGACATGAAAAATTATTATGAGGCTCTTGCGAAGAGCTATAAATATTTGAATTACAAATTTCATGGACCCAATCATCTTAGAAGCACTCCCTATGTCATTTGATAATGCAAAAATAATGGCGTCATGCTGTTGATAATTCCGGAAAAACTTTTTGAGTGATTATTTCTGTAGCAAATAACAGAATACTAGATGAATAAAATCGCACTTCATGAAATCACAATATCAATTGACCTATGTGGTTATCAGCAGATATGGTAAACAAACGCTGTGATGTAGAATGCTAAAGACATCGTCCCAAGTGCATTTCCCTAAGATGACTTTAAGAATAAAAAAAAAAAAGGTTCTTTTTCTTCACGACTGATTAGACTAATGGGCGGAATATGATGTCGTTCAGCTAGTCTCAGAAAGCCAACCTCCTCCGGCACTCATATCTGTGCTGAAGCTACACAATCTAACCAACTTCATATTTCTTTTGCAGCCATATTTAATGTGACTATGGCGTTCTGTCTATACTCGAAAAACCCCCTATCCTGTCTTCTAGAAAGCAGTGCATAAAATAAATCTCACAGTGTACCTTATGCATACGCCTAATGACGTATACGGTTGGGCATTTTTGAGTGCTCTGAAAAGTGGCTGCACCTTCGGTTGGTAGAATTCGAGCGCTTGAACTACGTAGCTTTGGTTGGTTCTCTCAGAGCGTCATTTCGTAGTGTGAAGAGCCTCGCACGATGTCTTTCGTGCAAAGCGTTTGTACATCGAGCGTGAGACAAGCGCTTACGAAATGGGCACTTTAACTTCGCACATAATTCTGGGCTGGTGTAAATTATATCCGTTAAGATTAAGTAGTTACGCCAAAAGGCACACGTCACATAATAACAGACACACACTGGATCATCACAATTCGCTTCATAATGCACACATCACTACATAGTCTCCACACCTGGCTGGTTTACTTTCATACTGTGTTGCGCTACCACATTCTGTTGGTCACTTTTCTCTCATGCTCCGACCGCACTTAACATCACTCATTGAGGCGCACAGGACTGCAGATATCGCAAAAGATCACCAAGATCCCCACGTTCCAACACCCAAGTAACACACACATGCACATGTGGCAATACTGCTGCCTTGGCTTTTACGGGCAGTAGTTCACAGACACGCACTTTCCACAAAAAACAGAAGTGCCCATTCTAACTTCACCTTCGTGTTACTGCATGCGAATGACCGCAACGACAATCGCCGAGTAGTGACCCTCAGGCGATATACTTGTTGCATCCTAACAATGAAGAGAATAGGCACTGTGTTACTGCTTGATGCTGCCAAAACGACGGAATGCGATAAAGTTCTGCCGCTTTGGTGCACTTTGAACGCTGCAAAATCGGAAAAATCTCAATCAAATGACGATCAACGAGGATGATACTGAGTGCGAGGGCATAACAGTAAAAAATAGCTTCATCTCGACAAAGAAAAAAACCCAGAATGATCAATTGACGCCTGCCGATCACAGTGCAGCGACAGATCTCCTCACAACCCAAATGGTGCCACGTTGAATTTGTCACTGGTTCAATGTAACTGTTACATCATAGTAAAGAGTGGCTGCAGCTGAACGCACGCAATACAAATGGACAGCAATACACTTTACTTTTTATTCTTATATTGTCACCCACTATACACACCTAGGTATATATATTGCTTGGCGTTTGGCCGGTTGAAACCACTTCTATGCATTATTTGAATTTGGCTACCATCTGTCGCTCAAGCTGACATAGGACAAAGCCAGTGTGTGCCAGAATCTCATGGAGCTTGATGGGACTAGTGTTTAGTTTTGTAACAATAAACAGCCATGCAACTCCAACAAGCCACCACTGACTCCTTCCTACTATGGCCTCTTTCATGTGGTTCTGAGTTCAATGAAAGCATTGAAGATTGATCAACAAGAGACCCTTTTGAATGGCAGTGCCTGATCTGCCTGTTAGGACCATTTCTTTCCTTTATTCCCTCGTTTCATCTCTTTCACTTTGTTCTACTAATTTAGGAGGACGAAGCCCTGCTCAGCGACTGCCTGTCATGACAATCTGACAAGCTTCGGCAGCTTTCCGCACCTTTAGTCCACACTTAATCTCCTCTTGCCATCAGGATTGCAGCCCCTCCCCTTGTTTCCTGTACCTTCTTCTATCGAAGTTCAAGTGTCTTTCCTTAGCCATAAACTACACCCATAACTGTACTTATTGAATATTACATACCTGCCAATGACTGCTCCCAATCTGTTACCATGCATATTTTTTGCTTTTGCTAAACCACGCTCCTAATAGCTTTGTCTGAGCACACCATGTGGACCAACCGCACCTGCTTAAATGTCCCCGAGAGTCTTGGCAGAGGTTGACGCATACCTGATGAGGAGGGGAAAAACACCTCCCAGATCACTGCTGTTGTGTGAGGCCACAATGAAGTGGCTGTGAGCAGCAAAAAAAAAAAAAAAAAAAAAAAGCGTGCAAATTGTAAATGACTGAAAGAAGTGGGAAGCAGGGGACACAGCCTGGCAGAACCTGGCTTGGCTGTGTCGCTTGTGCCTATTTTCCTCCGATCACTCGATGTGCAATAATAATATGTGGGGTTTTACGTCCCAAAACCCCAATATGATTATGAGGAGCACCGTAGTGGAGAGCTCCGGGAATTCTTTAACGTGCACTGACATAGCACAGTACATGGGCCTCTACCATTTCTCCTCCACCAAAAGGCAGCTGGGATCAAACCCACGACCTTTGGGTCAGCAGCCGAGCACCGTGGCTTCGAATCCGTTGTGGCGGACAATCACTTGATGTGCAAGTGATGCTTCTCCCATTACTTAGACAACTTCTTTTGCTTAGATGGGCAAAAGAAGACAATGCAACTTCGCAAAGTACAGAAACATTTGAGGAGTAGCCTTTTTTTTTCCCAGTTGTATTCTCAGAGCAGCATAAATACTTTTCAATTTTAAAAGATGCATAAAGTTGATCCTGTGGTAAAAAACAATTGTCGGAAACAACATTTTGATCTTCAACTTCCAAGGCAATAAAACATGAGACAATAACACACCTGAAAGATTAGGTAGCAGCACCCCTGCCTCAGCAGCCATGTTGCGCAGGCTTTCAAGATGGGTTGCATTATTACAAGCAAGGTTTGCTTCAATTAAAGTACTTCTCACGTTCTGTAAAGGCACCTTTGCGTCAACAAAGGGCAGACTTTCCCACAAGACAAGTGGGTCAAGCCATAAGGTGTTTCCAAGCCGCAAGACAATCTGAAAAAAAAAAAAAAAAAAAGGAATGGGGGAAAGTGAGATGAGATTCAAAAAAAAAGAGGAGCATCTCACAGAATTTGTTAATCTTTCAAACTACCTATCGTAATCGCTTATTGGCCAAGGTGTTGGTTTGCTAAGCTGACTACTGCAGGTTCGATTCCCTGCCATATCAGCCAAATTTTAATGGGGCCATAATGCAAGAACAGCTGTGTACCTGAACATAGGTGTACACGGACAAATCTCAGACAGTCAGAACAAATCTACAGCTCCCGCCTCACCACCCTAACTACGCTTTTTCTCATGACATTGTGACCTTAGCCCATAAAACACCAGGAATGGCATAAAAAATAGCTATTAAACTAGTTGCGTGCTATTTACGATAGATTAAAACACTGGCACATCTTTTTTTGCAGTTCTTTAGAATGTTTTCACATTATGCCAAGTTAAAAGTTAACAAAGCACCTTGTAAATGATGGAAGTGCTTTTGGAGCTTAAGAATGGCTTTGAAGGGAAAAAACAACAAACCTTTGTTCCGAACAAGGAACACATGATATGAAGTCAGAAGCCTACTGCTTATGTGCAGATGGCACACTGTACACGGCCATTATTACAACCCAGATCAAACTGCATTTGCACCTGTTTTTCACCACCTAAATGCATAATTTACACAAGCTTTAAGAGAATTTCAAGACCATCATACATTTTAACAACATTTGAAGAAGCTTTTTTTTTTTATTTCCTGAACATTGAGCCTCACATATGCGATCCAGGTGATGCAAGCCAAGTAGACGGTCATATGAAACATGACATGCAGCTGAGATTCAAAGACGGGGAGAATGCATGCAATGATCGTGCGATTATAGAGCGAGCAAGATAGCAGTAAGGAGAGGATCCGTATCATCTGTCGTATGAATCATAATATAGCAAAAGCACGGCAGTGTTCCTGTGGCAACATTGATAGAAAGAATAAACCACCACCACTCGTAGCACCATTTGGTACATAACTGCTACGTGCGTGTGAGTGGCCAGTACCCTTGTCGAAATAAAACGGCGCTCGTGACTCCGTGTGACAGACGGTCTAAAGCTATAGTAGTGCCCAAGGTTGAAAAAAAAGTCATGTGTACAAATTAGAGAGAAGTTACTGCTCATTTCTACCAAGTAATTAAAAAAAAGAAAATTAGTTTCGTTGTTGCAGGTCAACAACACAATTGAAACTTATGAGTACTTATGAGTACTTGTCAGGGGATGCGAAGATCTTAAAGGAAGTATGGAGGTGTAAATGGGTCATCTTGGTTTCAGGAACATTTCCACATTTTATTGTAAAACTTTAAGGAATCAATAAGAAAGCTTAAGGCCCTAATTGTGTGCGATTACTATCCTGTTGCTTAGATTGTGTAAAATTAAATATACTGTGAAGAGGTTTATTAGTCGTTAACAACAACGGCAAGACAGCATGAAGAACCGACCAACAGAGATCAGCACAGCAGCGAACTGAAGCACGAGCATAGAGAGCCGGGCGTTGGCGATGCTGCTCGCTGCAGGCTTATCTTTTTCTTCACAATCGCCTCCGCTGAAAAAGGAGCCATCCTGGCAACTTAAGAAGTATTAGGCAGAGGCTCATGTTACAGTTTCAGTCGGGAAACATGGATGATGTCACGTGCACACCGGCGCATGTCGTCCGATCAGGAAACTGGGTCAATTAGGAAATTAACTGGAGAGGTTTTCTCCAAAACGGTGTAAGGCCTCTCGTACCGGGGGACAACTTTCGAGGAGAGTCCCGGAGTTTGATATGAGATGGCGAGCCACACAAGAGATCCTGGGGCATAGCTGGGATCTGAAAGGGCAGTGCTACAGTGTTCTTTCTGGCGTTGCTGCTCTTCCGAGGTGAATGTACGGGCGAGCTGGCGGCACTCTTCGGCTTGTCGAGCAGCATCTGAGATAGGTGGACACTCGGAAGCATCAGGACGGTAGGGAAGCAGGGTATCAATTGTATAGGAAGGCTCGGGTCCGTAAAGAAGAAAGAAAGGTGAGAATCCCGTGGTGGTTTGTATTGCGGTGTTATATGCGAACGTGACGTATGGGAGAACACGGGCCCAGTTGCTATGATCGGTGCCACGTACATTGAGAGCATATCACCCAGCGTGCGGTTAAACCGTTTTGTTAGCCCGTTAGTCTGCAGGTGGTATGCTGTCGTTTTCCGATGAATGACGTGGCATTCCGAAAGCAGAGTTTCAACGACCTCGGAGAGGAAAGCGCAACCTCTGTCACTAAGGAGCTCTTGAGGTGCACCATGTCGAAGGATAAAGTGACGTAACATGAAAGAGGCGACAACCTGAGCTGTAGCGCTCGGCAAAGCGGCTGTTTCGGCGTAGCGTGTAAAGTGGTCAACCGCCACTATAATCCACCGATTAACATCTGGTGTCAATAGAAGGGGGCCGTAGAGGTCACAATGGAAGGGGGCCGTAGAGGTCAACGCCGACGCGATCAAATGGCTTGGCAGGGCATGGAAGTGGCTGCAATGCAGCAGTCGCATGTGGCGGTGTTGATTTGCGTCACTGGCAGTCAGGACAGCACTGCACCATGTAGACGGATAAAGTGACCTAAAATGAAAGAGGCGACATCCTGAGCTGTAGCGCTCGGCAAAGCGGCTGTTTCAGCGTAGCGTGTAAAGTGGTCAACCGCCAGTATAATCCACCGATTACCATCTGGTGTCAATGGAAGGGGGCCGTAGAGGTCAACGCCGACGCGATCAAATGGCTTGGCAGGGCATGGAAGTGGCTGCAATGCAGCAGTCGCACGTGGCGGTGTTGATTTGCATCGCTGGCAGTCAGGACAGCACTGCACGAATTTGCGTACAAAAATTGTCCATGCCGCGCCAGTAATAGCGATGGCGAAGGCGTTCATATGTTTTGAACACCCCGGCGTGGCCACATTGCGGACTGTCGTGAAGAGAGGTACATACTTGCGATTGTAAAGTGCGTGGAATGACCAGTAGCCACCGGCGGCCATCGGGAGCGTAGTTGCGTCGATGAAGAAGTTGATCACAGATGGCGAAATGGAAAGCTTGACGTCGGAGGGATCGAGATATACTGAAAGGTTGGGCGTGCCAGATAGATATTCGATAAGAGATGCGATCCACGGGTCACAACGTTGTTCGGTGGCAATCGAGTCGAGATTTAGCAAAGACAAGGTCTGGAGGCAAGCGTTTCCGCACGTCGGATCTGGTGGTAAAGGTGAGAGGGACAGGGCATTAGCGTTAGAGTGTTTGCGTCCGCAGCGGTATACGACGCGAATGTCGTACTCTTGGATGCGGAGTGCCCATCGTGCAAGGCGGCCAGAAGGGTCTTTTAACGTGGAGAGCCAGCAAAGTGCGTGGAGATCAGTTACTAGATCGAACGGACGGCCGGAACTTTCCAAGCGCCCACACCAGAGCCAAACACTCATTTTCTGTCACGTAATTAGTTTTGGCTTTCGTCAGAGTGTGGCTAGCGTAGGCTACAACGTATTCTGAATAGCCGGGCCTTCGTTGAACGAGGACAGCGCCTAGTCTGACGCCGCTGGCGTCGGTGTGTACTTCAATAGAGAGCCGGGCGTTGGCGATGCTGCTCGCTGCAGGCTTATCTTCTTCTTCGCAATACATTAAAAAAATTGGAGGCCTTTAAGCTTCGTATTTAGGAGTTGAACGTGATAACAATATCCTGTCTTTAGTGTCTACTTCAACCACTTAGGGCATACTTTTCATCGCATGCATGATATTACTTGAGAAATTTAAATTGGAGTTTACTACAATTTAATTGATAAAGCTGAAAGTGGCTTGTTTCAGTGAAGCTTTTGCATACAGCTGCATTCTGTGCAATGTGTAGCATGCTTTAAACCATGAGCAATTATGACATGAAATATTTTCGAACTTGCTATGCACTTCCCACATGGTCTTAAAGGGGTGGTGGTGCCACCAATTTTGAGGCTACAACAAGCCTCTTGCAGGTTTTCTCTGTATGCTAGGACACTCCTCACGAATGAAGACAACAAACGCTTACAAACACACCCCATAGTAACAATATTTGAATTCACCTATACCTAAATGCTCAATCTCCCAACCGAAGTCCATCGCAAACGCCCCCAAAACTGTCGTGGCTCCATAGGGAGGGCAACGAAAGCTGTAGTGACGTCACACCAGATTCGTAGTGGGCGTGCATAGGTTTTCCTTTTGGGTGGGAAGACAAAGGTTCATCGCAGCCCCCCCTCTCCCCAAAGTCACAGCGCCCGCTCCCTATTATGTCAGTGTGTGGCGCTGTGTTTACACCCCTCCCCCTGCCCGTAGCCAACTCCCTTACTCCCTCCCTTACCCACCTCCTTACCCTCCTTAATAGGTGCACGGCCTACTGTAGTGAGGCGAGTCTCCTCCCGAGATCTCACCACGTACATACTGGCAAAGCATTGTGGCTGCTGCACTTTAGTTTTGCAGGTGCTAGTGTGGCACGTGTGTGTGAGAGCAGACGATAATCAGCGTGACGTGCATCATATTCTTGTGTGGTCACGTGACCAAGTCACCTACACTGCCATGTCGCAGGCCATTTCGGTGCCCAGAAACTGAAACCGAAAGTGGTCCACATAAAAAAGGGGATAATAATTTATTCAGCGAGAATAAATTAATATCGGTGCGTGTACCATGCTGCCAGGAGCTATAAGAAGCGCTTGCAGCAAAGAACACGCAAGCCACAAATGTGGTGGCACCAACCCTTTAAGGAATACGTGCAGCAATGTGTGTGGCCTTTGTAGTGGGTGGCCGGCTTTTAACCCTGAAGTCGTTATAATGATCACATGTTCTGATGCCCGATGGCAAAGTACGCTTGCACCACACAATATTGCCGCGAACCATGCATTGGGTTTGTTTATTTGTGTTTTGTTTTTTCGGCCTGGCTGCGCCGGCCTGTGCTATCGCCATTTTCACAGCGTTTCGAACAAACGCTACCACAGCGTTTCGAACAAACGCTATCGAA